CTTTATTCTCCAGAAATGTGATCCGAATTTAAATCTCAACTCCACCATCGTCTGCAACCTGTCCAAGGATGAAGTTGGCCTGTTTTCCATGCCTAATGGATAATTATTCCATGGATTATTTTACCCTGGTTCTAAATTTATCAAACAATCAATAAAAGCAAGAGGTAATTAATAATAAATTCATAAACACTCACCGGCCACTTTATTAGGTACACCTTACTATTACCAAGTTGGACCCCCTTTTGCCTTCAGAACTGCCCTAATCATTTGTGGCATAGATTCAACGAGGTACTGGAAATATGCCTTAGAGATTTTGGTCCATATTGACATGATAGCATCACGAAGTTGCTGCAGATTTGTCAGCTGCACAACCATGATGTGAATGTCATGTTCACCACATCCCAAAAGTGCTCTATTGGATTGAATCTGGTGACTGTGGAGGCCATTTGAGTACAGCAAACTCATTCTCATGTTCAAGAAACCAGAAATCCAAGATGATTCGTGCTTTATGACATGGTGTATTGTCCTGCTGGAAGTAGCCATCAGAAGATGGTACACTTTGGTCATAAAGGGATGGACATGGTCAACAGCAATACGCAGGTAGGCTGTGGTGTTAACACAATGCTTAGTTGGTACTAATGGGCCCAAAGTGTGCCAAGAAAATATCCCCCACACCATTACACCACCACCATCAGCCTGAACTGTTGATACAAGGCAGGATGAATCCATGCTTTCATGTTGTTGACACCAAATTCTGACCCTACCATGCAAATATTGCAGCAGAAATGGAGACTCATCAGATCAGGCAACGTTTTTCCAATCGTATATTGTCTAATTTTGGTGAGCCTGTGTGAATTGTATTCCTGTTTTTATCTGACAGGAGTGGCTCCTGTTGTGGTCTTCTGCTGCTGTAGCCTATTTGCCTCAAGGTTTGACGTGGTGTGTGCTCAGAGATGCTCTTTTGCATACCTCAGTTGTAACGAGTGGTTATTTGAGTTACCGTTGCCTTTATATCAGCTGGAACCAGTCTGGCCATTCTCCTTTGACCCCTAGCATCAATAAGGCATTTGCGCCCACAGAACTGCCGCTCGCTGGATATTTTCTCTTTTTCAGACCATTCTCTGTAAACCCTAGAGATGGTTGTTCATGAAAATCCCAGTAGATCAGCAGTTTCTGAAATA